TGGGGGGTGGGGGGTGGGGGGGGTGTATTTACGTGTCTGAGTCTGTGTGTATGGGTGTCATGTGTGGGTGTGATCGCGCTTTGAAGACGTAATCCTTGAGGGGGCGTTACGGTTGGAGATGTCACATGCGCGACTTTACCCAACTGACGTGTATGCGCATATGTATGTGTGTATACCATTATTACACCGGACTGGACGGCCGCACGTGCGTGCGTGTGTCTCTCTGTGTCTGTGTGTGTGTGTCTGTGTGTGTGTGTGTGTGTATGTGTGTATGTGTGTCTCACTGTGTCTGTGTCTGTGTGTATGTGTGTGTTTTAGTACTCGACAGCAGCGGAAAGTCCCTCCTCGGCCCCATCTTCCCGTCTCGCTCCCTGCTGCTGTCGTCTGTGGTCGAGACCCCGTGGTCGAGGCGATAGCAGCCGGGAGAGAGACGGGAAGATGGGGCCGCCCGCGGGGTCCGACCCATGTTTCCCCTCCCACTTATCAGGTTCTGAGGCACATACCCTGATCGCTTGATGAGAAGGGCCCCTTCCCAGCAGCAAATCTGTGTAAGCTTTCCCTGGGATTTCGATACACACACATACACACCCAAACCCAAACCCCCTCAACCCCGGCCCTACCTGTCCGCAGGTGGCAGGGCAAGAGGACACCATACGAGGTCTGCAGGATGAAGTACGGTAGGTACGACATCTACAGTACAATCCGTACATACTGGAAAGGAATGTACTATTATGACCAATACCAGTACAAATATCATTTTGGGGCAAACTGAGCGACCTAATTTACCCTTTTGGTAGCAGCCCCGCCCTGTCACCTTCTTGTCCTCCCTCCCCACCCCCCGTTCCCCCCGTCCCCTCCCTTCCCGAATCTCTTCCTTCCCCCTCTCCCTCCCTCTCTCCCACCACCCCCGAACTTCACACCAACATCAAAATATTGGCACACCACCACTGCTCACAGCACTCTGACCCAGCTCAGCCACGAGCTCCGCTCCGCCGCACACGCGAGCGAGGTGGCCCTGGCGGCCGCCCGGGGCACCCAGGCGGTGCTGGAGGCGCAGCTGCGCGGCGCCCAGAGGTCCGGGGAGGTGGGGCGGCAGCTGCAGGAGGAGCTGGCGGCCAAGCTGGCGGCGGCGGAGGGGGCACTGGCGGCGAACAAAGTACGGCTAGCTGCGGGAGGGAGAGGGAGGGGGGTTCCGGGGAGGTTCCGGGGAGGTTTCGGGGTTTCTATTTAGGTTTAAAAACGCGGGAGGGAATGTGTAAAATTTGATTTTTTCTAAAATTTATCTTCCCCCCCAACACACACACGCACCCCCCCACATTCCCTTACGCCCCACACGACCAGTCGGCGATGGACTCCCGAGAGGAGGAGATGTCTCAGCTGCGCACCCTGATGAATGACCTAGAGGAGAGGTACCAGGTGGGGAAGGGGGGGAAAGACGAACCACACACGAGTGAAGTTGCTGCCAGGGCAAGAGAGTACCAAACGAGGGGGGGAGAGGGGAGGGAGTGGGGGGAGGGTGGGGGGTGGGTGGGGTCAAGTCATGAACAAATTGCGCAGCAAAAAGGGTGGATTGGTAATTTCGCTTTTTTTGCTGACATGTTTCCTTGGCCCATAGGTTTTTTAAATGCCATGCATTGGCGAGGAAAGTATTGTATATTTTTGATATGATGCGTTTATAATTTTTGGTATGAGGAGTGATGATGCTCCGTCCTAGCTTTGATACCGACACAGGTAGACATACATACACACGTACAGAACAATAAGCGGTATGTGTGTTACATGTATGTCTGTATCTCTCTGGATTCTTGCGGGCGTATTTGCCTACAGGCCAGTTTGTCCGGCAAGCTGGCGGCAGACGAAGTCAGTAATGGCCTGCAATTGCAGCTGGCACAGACCCGTGGGTCATTGGTGGATGCCAGGAGGTGAGGATGGGGATAGGAGCGTGGGGAAGACGCGGGGAACTGGGGGTGTGCGTGTGTGTATGTGTATTGACAAGAAAGAGGGAATTCATTCCCCTGATCTTGCGGGCAAGGGACAACTCCAACTCCCAACTGAAACCCTCAAATCCAATCTCGGCCCTCGCTTACAATGCCAAAAAACTGCATCACAGGCGCGCCGCTGCCGCAGAGCAGGAAGCCGCGCGCACGGCAGCCGAGGCGGCGGAGGCGAGCCGTGCTGCCGCCGCCCGTGCCGCCAATGCCGCCCGACTGGTTTCTGCCGTACAGTACCGCGCCTCGGAGGTAGGGGGTCTGCTTGCTGCCCGTGTGGATGCGGTTTCGGAGCGACTTCTGGGCCGGCTGGAGGAGCGGCTTGGGAGGGGGCTGGCGGAGGAGGCGGAGAGGGTGGATAAGGCCCTGACAGGTGAGGTCAAGAAGAAGAAGAAGAGTAAGGGAGGGGGGGAGGGGGGGGTTGTTGGAGGGGAGGCCCCGTAGCTGGTTACAAATTTGGTGTCTTCACGGGTAGAGGGAAAGAAAGAAAGAGTGCGGGGGAAATGATATGCGAGAAATTC